CAATGTTGTGTCAAATTCCAGTGTAAAGCACAATTTTTCAGTTATACATGAACATTTTTTTTAGCTGTGAGCCACCACCAGATCTTGTATATATTTCCCTGTGCTATACAATATAATCTTGTTTATCTATTCTGCTGTCCCTTCCCACCCCCCACCCCCTTGGCAACCACAAGTTTGTATTCTATGTTTATGAGTCTGTTTCTGTTTTGTATTTATGTTCTTTTTTTTTTTTTTTAGTATTCCACATATGAGCGATCTCATATGGTATTTTTCTTTCTCTTTCTGGCTTACTTCACTTAGAATGACAATCTCCAGAGACATCCATGTTGCAGCAAATGGCATGTTGTTGTTGTTGTTTTATGGCTGAATAGTATTCTATTGTATAAATATACCACATCAAAGTAACATTTTAAGTTTCTCTCCGTTTTTTTGTAAACTTGGAATCCCTGAGAACTAAAACTGCCATTTTCCCAAAGCCATGCAAACTAAAATTGGGCAATGTGATATAAACTTCAGAGAAATCACCATAACATCTCATGTACAGACAACCTTCCTGCCTCTTGCTGTCTGAGCCCCTCAGAAAGTTTACCTAAACACCCAATGATATCATCAGAGACATTGCAAGAGATGCTTTGACCCTGACATCTAGAAATCTTCATCCAGCTCCCCTCTTGGTGCCTAATTGTGTTCAATTACAACTAGTTATACTAATCTTTGTTCTATTTTATTCTCTCTTTGTTGTTTTTAAACTGTTTGTGCTTTGTATCTTTTGCTGTTGTGTCATGATGCCCTCCACAGGGGTAATGGTAGTTTGGGGTCTGGAGGTGGCTAACCGCTCCTGTAAGATTCCCCCTGATGAAGCATCGTGCCTTTTGAACACCACCTGAGACTCACTTCCTACGTGGCTCCTTGCTGCTCAGTTGTGGGCATAAACTCTCTAAAGGCGTCCCTCTCACACAACCACCTCCTTCCTCCTCTGTGGGACATGACTCTCTGGAAATGAGCCTTCCCAGTGCCAAGGGAGTTGGTACCAATGACAAATAACCAAATGGTTGATCATCAATGCTTTGTAATGAAAGACCTTGATCAAAAGAAGGAAATATGGAGGGGAAATCAAAACGGAGCTGGTATTGCTAAGAGAGAGCTCTAAAACGGGGCCAGGAAGCCATCAAGGAAGTATGAATTATGCACAGTATCCTGGATGGGATCTGACCTTTTGACCACTTATTGTCCTAAGGAAGGCATCCAGAACATCTGCCAGAAACTCAAGATAATTATCAGACACTTACCCTAAAATATCTTGTGACAGTCTGTCTTCTTATCTGGTCCCTGCCCTGAAACAACTCGTGATTCCTTAAGAACAAGCATTTCCTCACTCAAGTCAGAGTCAGTCACCTTCTCACCAGGAAACATTAGCAACTTCAAGGCTTTTTAGTTTTATAAGCCCTTGACACTTCCTCCTTCCCAGAACGCTCTCAGTTTTACCCAGAACTATGTCTCCCAGATTGCAGTCCTTAAGACCCCAAATAAACTCTTTTCTCAATTACAGCCTTGTGCATTGTTTTTGGTAGACACTAGTTACCTTAAACCCACACAGAGGAAAGAAACAAACCCTTAATTGATCCATAATTAGCAACATGAGTACCCCTTCCCTTGAAGTCAGTGTCTTTTCTTGGGTCCGGCCATGATAATTACAAGTGAGCAAACATTACTTGTTGACGGCTGTTCCAGTCTTCTCAAAAAGACTGCGAAGCTCCTGGTTGTATGACAAGTTTAAATGCCAGCTAAAGTGTTTATCCCCATCTATGGGAGTGAAGCAAAACATCATCAACAACAAAACAGCAACAAATTACTACTTTATACAACAAATGGCAACTCATCACATCAAATAAATGAAGGAAAATGGATTATTGAATGGCTGCTGTGTTTGGAGAACTTCCTTTGCTTGGAGAGGAAAAATATTTTGAAAAACAAAAAAGTAACTATTTAGCTCCTAAATGTTTTACATCTCATGATGAACAAGACCTCGATGTATTATTTTGACTTTCTCCAAAGCAGATCCTGAGACAAGGGTTTGAGCAGAGGGAACTTAGTTGGGAAATAAGCAGGAAATAGTGAGGAGGTAGGGAGTGTGAGTCAGGAAGGGAAGGGGGAAAAGCCAAAATCGGACTCGTTTTCGAGATCAATGCTGTAGACAACTGGGGATTCCTCCCAGAGATTTGGAGAAGGGTGCAGGGTGCCTTCAGAATTATCTTCTGAAAAATAGGATGCTGGGCCATTTATCCATGAGAACTCCCCTCTTGGGTTCGTGTTTCTGTGTCTGCGACAGTCTTTCACCGTTGAGTAAGAACAACTGGGTTGCAGGGTGGGGTGGGGGACTGCAGCAGTTCCGAGCTTTGAGGGTTATGTGAAGGGCGGAATGGAACATTCCACAACAGATTACAGGTGCTTCTGTTAGAAATCAACACTGCAATGGCTGAAAGAATGAAGTAAACCCCCATCGCTTTGTAAATCTAGCCCACCCCCACTTCTTGCTAATTCTCTTTTCTTGCTCTATCTCATGGGTTCACTTCTCTATCTCCTAGTCTTAGAAATCACAAAGAGCTAGAAACATAGGTTTTTATTTGAAAAAAAATCTTAATTTATTTTGGATGTTCTTTTAATACTCTTTTATGACACATCTGAGGGAAAAAAAGGTCATTGTGTCTCCCAGGTTTTCAGTGTCTTTACTTCTAAAACAGATTAGATGTTTTCTAGGGTTTCTTTCAGAATTGGGCATGATTTGTGTCTTCTAAGCACGCTCATCCACCAGCTCTGCCTGCCGAGTATTCCTTCTGTAATCTGCGTGTACGCAGAGTTGTGTGCGTAAAGAGACATAATGACTCTACAGGATTACCACCAGCCATGCATGTACTCATACATTCTCCCCTTTTTATCTTCTGTAGTGCCTGAGGTCTCACCCTGAGCTTTGATTCTTTGATTTTAAGTATACTTCTAGAAGGTCCATATAAAATATCTAGTAGCTAAAATGTATTGGGAGCAGTGAACACTATATTGGTTAAAGAAACTTTTAATCTGTTTTTACTGTATAGCACAGGGAAATATATTCAAGATCTTGTAGTAGCTCATGGTGAAAAAGAATATGAAAACAAATATATGTATATTTATGTATGACTGAGGAATGGTGCTGTACACCAGAAATAGACACAACATTGTAAACTGACTGTAACTCAATTTAAAAAAAAAAGAAATTTTAAATTTGATAATGAAGAAGAAATTTTCAATATGAGGGGAACATCCGATTGACAAATTGGTGCCCAAGAGGCAACATGTAAGCATCGGCAAGATACTGACCAGACTATCACCAGTCATACATTTCATAATACTTTCTATTGCAAAAATTCATGGGAATACATGTGTTTGAGGGGTTGCGATTGTTACTTATTGTCCTGGCTGAAGGAACCAAGTTTTTCCTCATTAACTTATAATTTCCCTGATGCTCTGAATTCAAACCTTTGAGTAATCAGTTCTGGTGTTGCTCAGGCAAGCCAAGGAATTGACAGTACTTAGGAGATCCAAGTGGAATGCTATTAAAAAGAAAAGAAAGAAAATCTTTGTATCTTAAATATTTAATTTTTCTAATTCATAGTCAAAAAACATTTCCTTATTTCTTCCACTAGTATGTGGACCATTAAGTGAAGAACAATTCTCACTTGAAAGGCTTAATGAGAATAGAATAAAGTATTTAGCTTTATTCTTGTAAACACTTGCTGCATTGAATAACCAAGTGGAGAAAGAGGAGCTATTAAATATTTGCTCTTTCTTAAGGCTCTGGGCCAGGGCACTGCTTCTCCTGCTGACAAACCCCTGTCCTGGGTAGAAGCAACTGCCAGAGGGATCTGTAAAGAGCCCAAAGGAATATGAGGGATCTAGGATGTGGCTTAGACGATTTCCTAGGCTTCTTGCGACATTTGCACGTTGTTTATCCTGCTGCAAGACTGCATGTACACTACAACTTATTGTAGAGTCATAAAAATCAGAATTGTAGGTTGGATCAAGATTTTCGAAATTACAGTCCATCTTGAATACATTCATTTCTTTTGATGAAGAAGTCTATTTGTATAGAAGTTAAATTAATTTTCCCACATCCCACAACTAGCCAGTGGTAGAGTCAAGACTCGAAATGAAGCTTCTGACTTCTAATGACTTCGGTAAATTAGACACAGCTCAACAACTCTGGAGCGTGAAATATGCAGAAGTGCCGTCTCCCCGGTGGTTCCTAAGGCATCACAGGGTGGACCTAGGATGAGGGGTGGCGCTTCTGTCCTGGCCGCCTGGTCCTCAAAGCAACAGGTCAGAACTTAGACCAATAAATAATGCTTTCTGGGAAGACTATGTTAGCACTGACATTGTTTGGAACTGTGGGTGTATTATTATTGCTTTCAAATTATCTGCAGACAAAGTAGGATGCCTCCCACTGCCCTGTGAGCAGTACACCACAGGGGGCCAGTAAAATGTTCATGTCTGTGGAAGTTCCAACGCAACAATTAACTGCCGCTAATTATTAGATGAAACTTAGGCCAGAAGAACTGGGAAGATGGGATGGAAATGGGGTTTAAGCACAAATCCTGCCTGTCATATAATGAATTTCTTTCCCCAGAGACATTCAAGTTCAATGATTGCCTTTGGAGTCATAAGAATATCCAAATCTGAGACGGAGGGAATAATTATTTATTTTTTACAAGCTCATCCTCTTATATATGCTAACATTTTGCTACAGGTGTTCTTGGAATAGAATAGTTAACATTTTTTCTATTGATTTAGTTAATGTTTGTTACTTTGCATATGAAAGCAGAACTTGGCAAGTCAACTATTCAGTTTGGCAGAATGCTCATGTTTTTAGCAAACAGACTGTCCCAAACACAAATGTGCTCTAAAGTTTACCGAAGTTCAGCCTCTATACCATTTGCAAATGGGCTAACAGACACAGAAGGCTGATTGGTCTGCAGGTGCATAAAAGGCAGCTGAGAACATCTGGGAAGTTCAGTGCTGTCACAGTGTCAGAGCTCAGGGCTCCTCTGACTGCACTGTCACCATGAGTGGCTGCCCATTTTTAGGAAACAACTTTGGGTGAGTATTGCCCTCTGTTTGAAGTATGGCTAAGCTCTTGGGACTGCCAAGAACGAATGCTTTAATTTCTGAATTTCAAGTGCATGGAAAACTGTCACCCTTCTTCCCGTGTTTAATAAGCTACTTTAAGAACTTACCAAAGGGGAATTTTTGTGTCTCATCTCGTTAGTTACTGTGCTTTGTCCAGCTTTACTTTTTCCTCCTCACTTCTCTCATCTGCAGATATGCTTTGAAAAAACTGTCTGTAGAAGGCAGTGAAGACGACCAATCACAAGGCGGTGTGAACAGAGCCAGTAAAGGAGGGCTTATCTATGGGAACTACCTGCATGTAAGTGGCGGCGTCCTCGCCAGGCTAACCTGGCCTTGTAGGCGCTAAATTCAGCTAAATGACATTTTCATATTAGGTGGGTGTTTTTTTTCCCCCCTCAGTCACCAAGTAGTTCTCTGGTCCTAAAGATACCTCTTTTCATACAAATTTATGCTTTCTCAAGTTCTGCTAGAACAACCCAAGAGGCTCACATGGGAAGGGTCACCTGTCCGACAGAAGCACAATAAAGGTGGAGAGTGTGGGATCCGGGCAAGGTGTACTCGTGATAAGATAAAGCGCAGATTACTGGCAGGCGTTGCACAACTTGTTTAAGTAAGACATGGTTGCTAAATCCCAGGCTACAAAATGGCAAATGTATCTAGAAAATCTCTTTTTAATTCTTTATCATATAGTAGAAATGTGGAAGGCACATGCTTTCTTGAAATCATTAGGAGATGAAAGGATGTTACAAAGAGGTATTTGGAGATTATTTTTAAGACGTGAAATGATTAGAGCCCTTGATGTCCTTATTGATGGGTTTCTAAGGATGAGTTGAGAAGCAGTGTTAAGATCTCCCAAGAAGGGACTCTTGCAGAGAAGAAAAGAACAGCAGATACACCGGAGGCTAAACAATTTATCAAGATTTCATGATACCTCATGAGATAGAAGGGATGTGATTTCTCAGTGAGTTCACTAGCCTTTGCTAGGGTAGAATCCTCCCAAATATAATTTCTTCTGAAAAGAATAAAAATCATAAAGCCAACTGACGCTTTATGAGGGGACATTCATTGTTTAAAAGACTACAGATGGGTTCCTGAGAATTTGGGATTCAGGAGACTTTTTCAGTACTGTATTCTACTTATTAAAGTTGGTGAAAATCAAGTCGTGCAATTTTAAAATCAGCCCTTTTTGTAATCTTTTTTTCCAGATTTATTGAGCTATAATGGACATATAACATTGCATAAGTTTAAGGTGCATGCATGTTGATTTGATGCAAAGCGATCACCACTGTTGCATTAACTAACATCTGCATCACGTCACGTAATTACCATTTATTTGTGTGTGTGTGTGTGTGTGGTGAGAACATTTAAGATGATTAAGAAAGATTAGCAACTTTCAAGTAGATAATACATCGGCATTAGCTGTAATCACTATGCTGTACGTTAGATCCGCATAACTGATTCCTCTTGTAACTGGAAGTTTCTACACAACTGGTCTTTCTCTTTTCTTGTTTAAAGCTGGAAAAAGTTCTGAATGCACAAGAACTTCAAAGTGAAATAAAAGGAAATAAAATCCACGATGAACATCTTTTTATCATAACTCATCAAGGTAGGTGGCCCAAAAGGTTAGGCTGTAAGTGCTTGGCGGGGACTTCCCGTCAATAATGAGGGAAGTTCCAGCCCTTTTAACCACCAAGATGCTGGTGGAGCAAGGGCTCTCCTTTGTTAGCAGCCCTTGAGAATGAACAGTGTGCTGTCAGATAAATTCTCATAGGCCCTCCTTCTGGGATTTAGAACAGTCTTCTTTCTGTTAACTCAATGCTAATTGGATCAGGTAGGACTTTAGTTTTGTCCTAAATCCAAGGGGACTTTCCATCACTCGGAATTCACAAGAATTTGGAAGCTAAGATGTTATTATTTTTCAACTTGGAACTTTAACAAACTATTTTTAAAAACTAGATCACTCAGATTTAGTATAATTGCCACATGGCCTGTATAAACCTGGTACTAAACAGAAATATAAATTTTGTCTAAAATGTGTGCTTATACTCCCCAGACTTCTAACCTCTGGGTAGTGGTTTTTAAAGGAGGCGTCCATGACTTTGGAGGTTTAGGAAGTCCCTGAACTCTTTGAAATTGTGTGCAGAATTTCATGAATATCTATCTTACAAAGGTGACCCCCCAAAACATTAAGATTTACTCTAAGATTGTTCGTGTCAGAAGCGGAAAGTTTGGGGGCCAAGGGCTGCCTTCCTCCTGCTGCTCAAAATTAAAAAAAAAAAAAGCTTGTTTGTGTCATAGCACCGTGATCTGAGGCCCAAGGACTCATGCTAGTCAATGCTCCATTTGTAGATGCTGCTTCTCTTTCCCAATTCTTTGTGTCTTTTCCTCAAATGATTGTTTTCCTTACTGTCTGGCTGAAATGATCAACACCTTTGTGTTAAAAAAAATTTTTTAATGGAAAATGATTTAGCTTCATGTGTTACTTCTTTCGTTTTTTTTTGAAATTTATTTTATTTTATTTTTTTGTTGGTGACTCACACCAAGACAAAATTAACAGGGGAGGAATCACAGCAGGGCAGCACAGATTTGGAATTAGAAAAGGGTTTAGAATCCCATTTCTACCATTAAAGTTCGTGTAACCTTGGTGAGATTTCTGGACCAGAAATGCTCTCCATTTCCCGATCTATAAAATGGAAAGAATGACTGTACCCCCTCATTCATGGAGTCCTTGTGAAGACGACGTGAGACAACGTGCATGAAACCCTTAGCCCAGGCAGAGCAGGCACTAAGCACACAAGGAATGGCAGCTGTCTTCACTTGATGGGGGCTTTCCTTCCATCCTTCCGTCAGACACGCGCCAGTGGGTCTTGGGACTTAGCCACACAGAGTTAAACCTGAAAAATGGATGCATAAACTGATCAGGAAATATTGGATTGGCTCTTTGTCCAAATATGAAAATTAGATCCCCCGAAGTCTCCTTAACTGTAATTTAAAGGCATAGTTTGACTCCCCTAATTAGTACAGAAGCCCGAATAGAATGTGCTGGCCATCGCTAAGATGACTGATCTTCCATGCTCCTCTAATGACTACATTAGCCATTTAATTCCTCTATTTATAAAATCATCACCCAGTGTTTATGTTACACCAGACACTGTGCTGGGAACCAAGGGGAACAGATGAATATGACAGAGTTTTAGACTCTTCAGAAGCTTGTCCCCCTCGTGATAGTCTAAGTCTCTAGAATCAAGAACCTGTCCTCTTTGTTAGAGTAATGAATGCTGACGTCTTGTCTTCCAGACGAAGCTGAGCATCACTTCTGCCCTCGGCACAGCCCCAGCCTGGGCAGTCAGAATCAGTTCATGGGACGTAACCTACAAGACACAAACAATATTTTGTTGAGAGAAATCAACACGATAATAACTAAAGCCTGGAGGTCACGTGCCTGGCGTATTAAACCCGTCAACAAAGGCAGGCTTTTATAATGTTAGTACTAATATTTGCTTGTAGCATAAAATGGGGCTACAGTGGCCGTTACTGATTTTTAAATTGCAGTTTTATTTCTCTTTTGATGTGTTAACCATGTCTTTCCTCTCATTGTAGTCAAAAGGCTCCCGTAACTTCCCAGTTGACAATGATTCTCTCATTCCAGCCTATGAGCTCTGGTTTAAGCAGATCCTCTGGGAGCTGGATTCTGTCCGTGAGATCTTTCAGAATGGCCATGTGAGTTGTTATGTCACCATATTCTTTTCATGCTTTTTTGGGGAGAATGTGGAAAATATTATTAATAGGAAACGTTTAATACCAAATGGGGGAGTTATTACTTAATGAGAAAATAAAAAAACCACATTCATGATTACCTTACCCTTGCTTTCAGGTTCCTTTCAAATTTTTGCTTCAAGCCCCTGGATTAAGACTCAACCTTTTCCCTTTCAAAGAAGTTCTTACGAATGACGGTAGATTTCTGGGACAGCTAGTGCAGATTCTCTAATGAACAGGAACCAGATTGTATTGCTAGGAATGTTTGCTGTGGGAAGCTGGGAGCAAGGATGAGGAAAGCGAAACAGGAGGAGGAGGTGGAGGAGGGAAGACACAAGACATGAGGGGCAGAGGAGGGGCCAGAAAGGACCATCAGGAAGGGAGGAAGGCAGAGCCGAGGGCCCGGGGAGGCTCCCACACCACCCCTCCCAAGCCCGCCTCCTGCTCCCACCCCTCCCATCCTTGGAGGACACAGGACACAGGTTGGGTCGTTCCACCTGGAACCCCTGCTCCACATGCGCGGCTGGGAGAGAGAACGTGGGTCCACAGACCATCCTCCTGGATCTGTGGACGGAGTCCCCACTTAGGCCGATGGCAACTTGCAGCCTCAGTAGAGAGCAGACCTCCTCAGAGTTAATCTCACCCCGGAGACCCCACGTGACCTTTATTCCTTAAAGCAAAACTAAGAGACACCTTTACTTTGAAATCAGCAGGAGGCATGTGCCACAATTTCCTTGCTTCCATGTAGTTTTCTATTTTTAAAGGAAAACATGATCTCGACTTTGCAGACATCCCTTGCACACAACTCAGAGTTGCTCTGAGTTCAACATGCATTTAAGGCACATTTTAGTCCCAATGTTCCTCTTTAAAAGAGAGAGAAAATCAGTAGGGAGGCACCGTCGTTTACAGCCTAGTTTGCGTCTTCTAGAATTGGGGCTTGATCACTCAGCGCTTCGTGTCTTAACCACCAGGTCAGGGACGAAAGGAACATGCTGAAGGTTGTCACCCGAATGCAACGAGTGGTGGTGATTCTCAAACTCCTGGTCCAGCAGTTCTCCGTCCTGGAGACCATGACTGCCCTGGACTTCAATGACTTCAGGTGTGCACGTGGCTTCGTAAACAGGTGGGGGGTCACCACTCCTTTCTGGGCGTGAGAAGCCTGTCCTTCTGACACTCTGTCACTAGGAGCACCTGGGAGAGACCATCGGAGCACTGGAGCAGCTGTTGAAGATATTTTATTCCTCCATTTTACCTATGCACATAACAAGTTCCATTAATTTCAGTTTATCGTGTGTGCCCTAATTTTACCCCAAAAGGATCTTAGACAACTTATGAAAATGGCTAAAAAGGCTGATAGAATACACACAACTAAATTTAAATGATTCCAAACTGAAAATGAAAGAGAAACAGGAATGATATTTAAAGAAGCATGTCAGCAAAACTGTCAGTATAAGTTATGGGTCAAGTAGAAATTTTAGCTGTATATTTCCAGAATGAGATACACACACACACACACACACACACACACACACATATACATATAAAAGCTTTTTTCATACCAAAGTCTGAGAAGAAATGTTAAGACCGTCAGGTGCTTTTAACAATGTCACAGGCCGGGTCTTCTACACGGTTGAAAATCGAACAGAGAGCAGTCGAATTCCTTTGTAGCGTATTTAACAGAGGGACGTCTCAGTGGCAGTGAGAGGAAGGATGTTTACAAGGGTGTGGGCCCGGGGGCTGGGGGGACAGTCACACCTATTGAGGGCCTGTTTTGTGCTGGGCCACATCCCACTCGCTGTGCTTGTAGGATCTCACGGGTGCTCATAACAATTCTAGGTGGTGAAATTAATGGCTTGAACTTTTAGGATAAATTGAATAATATTTCTAAAGACGCTTTCAGCACTATCGAATAAAAAATATTGCTCAGTGTTCACCTGCCTTTATCTTAGGAGGCAGTTTAGTTCACACAGGTGCATATATGTTTATGTGTGTGTATATACATACATGTAAACACACACACACACACACATAACCTTTGGCAAACTATACAAACATTCCAACTTTAAGTTGCCGGCAGTCGTGGTGATATTCCAGTAGCTCACTGTCCTCATCTGGGTGAGGTCCCAGCCATGGGGCCAGCTCTACGGACACACGCCTAGGAGAGCAAAACCCACCAGCTCTCCCAACAGAAAGGACTGCTCCAGCGACTAACATACAATATCCACCATCTCTCCCTGCTTCTGTCCCCTCCCCGCCTGTTCGCACAGAGAGTACTTGTCCCCCGGCGTCCGGCTTCCAGAGTCTGCAGTTCCGACTGCTAGAGAACAAGATGGGGGTTCTCCAGAGTCTGAGAGTTCCCTACAACAGGCGACATTACCGCGACAACTTCAGAGGCGCAGACAACGAGCTCCTGCTCAAGTCCGAGCAGGAGCAAACGCTCCTACAGCTGGTGGAGGTACACCTCTGAGGCTTTTTCTTTTATTTATATTTGGGTGGGGGAGGTAATTAGGTTTATTTATTTACCTATTTATTTTTAAAGGAGGTTCTGGGATTGAACCCAGGACCGGACCTCGTGCATGCTAAGCACACGCTCTACCACTGGGCTACGCACTCCCTCTATTTCTAAGGTCTGGTTCGATACCTCAGGTTCACTTAGTTTCTGCTGGACCAGAATTTTAAAGCCCATATCAGAACTGGGTTGCATTCACTGTCATTAAGAATGAATTTATAGAAATTCTTAAACTTGTAAATACAACTAATTAAAATTTTAAGAACTCCCTTGAGAACTCCAGAAACATTTATATAATAACATGTTTGCTAATATTTAATAACCTCATTATGTTATTAAAATAATCCTTTTAAACATTCTCGCTAAGCAACATTTAATTAGCTGATTTTTAAATTGGGTATGCTTATTTATTTAATGAACTTTATTTCTTTAAAATAGTCCATGATTGAAAAGTTCCACAAGTTGTGCATTTTTCTTAATGAAACTAAATTACTAAGATTCTATTCTTTAGAATTTTCCCCTTTTGTGTCTTAATTCTCTCTGGGTCTATAAATAGTCTTGAGGGTTTGTTAATTTGCTTCTACATAAGTAGATTATTAAAGAAGGATTTTAGAATCTTGATCCTTCACAAAGACTTCCTTTGCAAGTTAATTTTTTTTTTATTTTAGTGAATTATACTCTGCTCATGAATCCCCTGGCTATGGTAAATGCAGATTTAGGTGAAGAGAGGTAATATCGTTTAATGACTTACAAAAATAAGGAAAGAAAAAAATCACAAAGCTGATTTCAAAACAAAAATAGGCTAAATAAGAACCCACAGAGATGCATGAATTTGGTTTTATTTTTAGATTAAAAATCTTGTGGAATCTTAAAATAATTGAAAAGGTCATTCATTTCAACATTGCTGCATATACAATGTCCCTGCATGTGGAAGAGATCACAGCTTCTACATGTCATAATTCCTTCAACTCCTAAGACATAAACTATTTTGAGAGTAAACCAGTATAAAACAGTATTATAAAACCAGTATTAAAACAATGTATAGATATGTCCATAGATTTTCAGGACAAAATTGGGATTTCTGTAATAATATATTTCCTAATAAAGAGTAAATATTATTAATATGCTTGAAAGGAAAGAGAAAATATTTACACACAAAAAATCCTTACTGACATATTTCTCAAAACTATGAAAATTTCCTGTTCCAAGTTCATAAATGTTAGTTACAAAGTGTCTTATATATTTTAAATTTTACAATGTATTCACTTGAAAAATATTTATTTAAGGCATGGCTGGAAAGAACTCCAGGTTTAGAGCCACATGGATTTAACTTCTGGGGAAAGTTTGAAAGAAACATTGTCAAAGGCCTGGAAGAAGAACTCACCAGGATTCAGGTAATTATGACACCAAAGTAAACTCGGCTTCCTTCAGAAGTAGTCCTGGGAATTTTATTTTAGCAATTTCCTCTTAATCTGTCATTTTCCTTATAGCATTTTTCTTTTACAAATACACCTGCTTGGTATATATTACATGCTTGATTTAATTTTATTTATGAACACTACAAATAAATTAAGGAGTTCATTGTCAACAAGATTTTTTCTTTGAGGAACAGATGAGATTAATAGACCTCTTTTCATTTCTATTGAGACTTTCACCTCATGACCAATTCAAGATAGAAGCGGGCTCACAGAGGACCAGTCAACCCGATGTATTTAGTCCTACAGCTTCCCTTCACTGGTCTGCCTTTGCTGGGTACTTCTTTTTGGCTCTCAGACAATGTCAAGTTTCTCTCACTTAAAAAAAAGTACTGTTGATACCTCATTTCCCTCAAGTCACGGCCCCTCACCTTTCTTCACGACTATATTTCTTGAAAGGGTTGTTTCAGTGCTGTCTCTCGGGAGGCTGTATGGGGCAGCATCTAAGGCGCGGACTTGGAAGTCACCCTGCTGGGCTCCAGCCCCACCTTCACTTCCTGACGACCCTGTGACACTGAACGCCCTTCACTTCACTTCCATCACTGGCAAAATAGGAAATAAGAGCGTCTACCTCACATGATTATTACGGACATCCCATTGGGCTCGCATCTGTAGAGCGTTTAGGACAGCAGTTGGCATGATTATTCCTTTTGCGTCCCATCGGATTCTCACCTTGACGCAGGCTCACCCCATCATTACAAGCAGCCTCCATGTGCACAAACTCAGTGGCCATCTTTCATCTCCATTTTACGTCTCTTCTCCTGGCGTTCAGCATTAACGGCTACTTACACTTCTTGAACCCTTTCCCTCGAGGTTTTGGTACCAGTGTGACGTCTTCATTGAGCTTTCTGTCTCCCTCATGGGCTTATTTTTCTCTCTCAAACCAGTAAGCGTCGGGGATTCACAGCACGTGGGCTCAGAGCCTCCGTTTTCTCCCTCTGCCCACTTCCACTGTGTGAGCTCATCTGTACCCACTGCTTCAGCGTCTGCTTGGACACCAGTGACTCACAAAGGTTTACCTCTAGCTTAGAGAGCTCCTTGAATTTCAGATCATATACGTCACACCTTATTTTCATTGCCTCTTGCTATGCTCAAAAGCACACTGAAAATAACCAGACTTTCAGTTTCCCCTTCCACCCAATCTTTTTTTCTCTCCTTTCTTTTAAATTGACATATAGTCAGTTACAATGTGTCAGTTTCTGGTGTACAGCAGCACCCATTCTTGAATCAACTTGGTCTTCTCCAGGTTGAAGAACTTTTTCTCCTATCAACCATTTAGTTTAAGACAGACACCCACTTGATCCTTGACACTTCCATCTCTCTCAGCCACCTCTTCAAGCTAGCACCAAGTCCTACTGATTTTACCTACGAAATGGCTCTCGAGTCCCCCCCTTTTCTACCCACCCCCATCAAGGGCCACTCGCCATTGTTGTTTACCTGGACTAGAGTCCCAGCCCCTCATCTGTTCTGTGCACCTCCCAGTTCAGCTCCGTTCCAATTTATTCTCTGCCCCAAAGTTTGAGTAATATTTTCAAAATGCAAACCTAATCACAATTGCCTTTTGCATAAAACTCTTTGATGGTTTCCCGTTGTTTTCAGGATAAAGATAAAAATTCTTACCATAGTCTACAAGGTGTTTCATGGTCTTGTGTGGTCCAGGTATAATGAATTTCCTTTAAGCTGAATTTAGTTCCTTGAATTTATTACCATTGAGTCTTTTTTTGTGTCATCCTTTGGGCTTGGAGTACTCTTCCCCAAGTAACTTCCTCCCAGTCTTCAAGTCTTGGCTCAAGGAAGACTTCAGGAAGGTCTTTGCTGACCTTCTGCTACTGTAAGTTATTAGGACGCTACGCTGCTCCTTTACAACACTGTCCGTGGTTGCAATTTGGTTTAATTTTTCAATGTTTTATTCCCACTGGGCGGAGATCTGGGAAACTCATTTTTGCTCACAACTGTATCTCTATCACATTATGGATAGTGTGATAAGTTGATAATGAATAAATGGATAATGAGTTGGCCGTAGCATCCTTACACATCCTTACTTACCATGCAGCATGGCTGTTCTGATAAACTGAAAACAGCTGGGGTGGCTGATTTTTGCTCCCGCCCAGATAAGTGGGTTGTAAGGAGAGCACATGTTTAGGCAGGCAAGTAAGAGTTTCCTTAAATGAATCGATAGGGGTCAAATGAATAAAAACATAATAGTGAAAAATATCTAAGAAATTGTATTCACAGAACACTCTACTGAATATAGAATTTCAACAGAATGATTAGTTTCTCTGACTAGGAATTCTTAACTTTCCCCACATGGAATGTCTTTATGTTCTTATATTAAATAATCACTGTCTAAAGGTAGATCTTGACTGATCACTTGTTATTACCTTCAGTTTCGCTCACGAGTCCATTTCTCATGATATTTATGGAGAATATTTGAGTTTAACAGATCACATAACCTTAAACAAAAGGACAGAACCAGTGGATATGAGGAAGAGCCTGTCTCGTAAGCCATCATCTCCCAGTTGTAGGGTTAGCTGATGCAGTAAATATTCGAAGTACTCCCTGTTTGCCTCCGGCTGGTCCATTCCTCACAAGCAATGTTGCCTAAAAGGAGAATCTATTCACTCTTGGGAATGCTAATGCAGTGCTTCCCCCTCTCCCCCAAGGCTAAGGAAGAGTCAGAAGACAAAGAGGAACAAATGGCTGAATTTCAGAAACAGAAAGAGGTGTTACTGTCCTTATTCGATGAGAAACGTCATGAGCATCTTCTTAGTAAAGGTAGGTGTTCTTATTCCAAGGATCCTCCCCTGGAATGTTACTGTATCAAACCTTCCACGGGGGAAGTAAAATGAACGTTACGTCCCCTGAGAGGATCTGGAAATTTTTTATTGATTATGGAAGTTAAATGTATTCTATATCAGGCTTTCCTAACAAGACATTTAAAGATTTGGAGAATTTGAAGTATATATATGTAATGATAGTTTCCTGAATTCAAGCTAAGGGATAAAATACTGAAAGTAACATTTGCATTACTTTCTAAAAACATGGCACACTTAATTATTTAAGGTGATGATGCCACATTAGTCAGAGTACCTTAATTTACCTGTTAAATGAGCACTTGCTACATGTCTTGCAGGGGAAAGACGGCTGTCCTACAGAGCACTTCAGGGGGCTTTGATGATCTACTTCTACAGGTAAAAGCAAATCAAAAGAGGGGAAGTCGAAGTCAAAACTGAGGAGTAGATGCAGATAATGCATCACGTGTAAGGCTTATAAGTTGCAGTCGTAGTTTAAAGAAACTCGTTTAGATTGGGGGAAAGCTTAGAAAAAGCTGACATTTCATGAGGGTTTTCTTTTACTTTAAATAACAAAAGTTCAGTTTTATCCTTGTAGTTGGCAAAAAAAAAATACACACAAAA